ATATTACAGAAATAAATCTGTCTCCATTGATATAAATTACTCAGAAAGTGTTTCATAACAGAGAGGATACAGAATGAAAATATAGACAAAAACAAAAACAAAAAAAGTGATGCTGGCAGCCTATAGGAAGGAGGGCCAGTTGGGATCCAGAAAAGGGCAATGCTTTCCGGGATCTAGACTAGCGTGCCTGTTACAAGAAGAGACATTGCAAGCAAGGATGTCCAAAGCTTCTAGAAAAAAAAAAGTGTTTGTGATGGAATCAGAATAAGTTTCATATTGATGGGCTCCTGGGTCTCTGTCTCTCGGCCCAAGGAACCCACATTAACTACCAATGTAGGAAAAAAGCCTGTTAGACTTTTGATAGATACTGATGCAGCTTTGTCAGTAGTTACCCAGCCAGTGGCCCCACTTACAAACCACAGAGCGAAGGTGGGGAGATAGCTCAGTGGAATAAGTGCTTGCCTGGCAAGTGCAAGGTCCTGAGTTTGATCACTGGTACCACCAAAAAAAAAAAAAAAAGACGAAACCAGAGAGCGCTCAGTACTTTCCAAAGGATTGGGCAAAAGATAGTCCCCCAGGTCTGAAAATTCATGTGCCCCCAGTGATAGTAGAGTTGATAGGACATGCAAAGCTCATTTGTTTGAGACACTATCCAATAGCCATGAAAGCTAGAAAAGGGATTAAACCTCACATTCAATGGCTGCTTGATACAGATATACTGAGGGAATGTGAATCCCCATGGAATATAACCTTCTTGCCAGTCCACAAGCCCAGAACAAATAAATATAGTCCTGTCCAGAACTTGTCAACTGTCAATGCCATGGCTGTCACCCTCCACTCTAGTATGCCTAATCCTTATGCTCTGTTCAGCTTGCTTCCTTCCACTTGAATTTGGTACATTGCATTGGATCTAAAGGATGCTATTTTCTGTATTCCATGGTTTGTGGCATCCCAAGACTTGTTTGCTTTTAAATAGGAGGATCCAGAGAGGGGAAAAAAAAAAAGGCCAACAAACTTGGACAAGGGTCCCTCAACAAAAGTTGCTGGCATACTATTAAGATAAAATAAAACACTGAAATATAGTAACTATGGTTCCTTAACAATGGCCCTGGAGTTCAGCTGCAGTGGCCTCCAGTTTTAAAGAAACAAACATGGCATCAAGTGCCCAGAGAAAAAGGATGAGTCTTAAGCCAGAGCTGACCGAAGAGCAGAAACAGGAAATCCAGGAAGCTTTTGATCTCTTTGATGCAGATGGGACTGGGACCACTGATGTAAAGGAACTAAAGGTGGCACTGAGAGCCCTGGGCTTTGAGCCCAAGAAAGAAGAAATCAAGAAAATGATAAGCAAAATTGGTAAGGAAGGGATAGGCAAAGTGGATGCCAGTGACTTTCTGACTGTGATGACTCAGAAAATGTCTGAGAAAGATACCAAGGAAGAAACCCTGAAGGATTTCAAGCTCTTCGATGATGATGAAACTGGGAAAATATCATTCAAAAACTGAAGCTCGTGGGCAAGGAGCTGGGCGAGAACCTGACTGATAAAGAGCTTCAGGAGATGACTGATGAAGTCGACCGAGATGGAGACGGCAAGGTCAATGAGCAGGAGTTCCTGCGCATCATGAAAAAGACCAGCCTCCACTGAGACCCCTGTCGTGTCTCCTGCTGCAAGCACATGTGACTAGATTAGTGCCCGCTGTCCTGGGAAATCCGGCTCCCCATTTGCCTACAGAACTTCAGCCATGGCCTTGAATCTGTTTTGGGCTTTTGAAACTGTTCTTTAATATTAAAGTTATTTGTAAGATGAAAAAAAGAAAGAAAGAAATATAGCAACTATAAATATAAGGCTATATGTTTTTCAAATTCTCCCTACAGGAAGTTCTGACTAGTGTTTTTGTAATTATAAATTGAAAATACTTACAATAATTTAACTTGGCCAAAGTATCTGATTTGATAAACAAATTGTCTTGTGTGGGTTTCTATTTATGTCTCTATCCAATCTGCAAACAGCTGTTTTATATGGGCTCAAAACACTTTTCTTCTTTTTTAGACTTTTTAAAAGTATTTCACTGTAATTTAATTTGGTTTATAGATAAATGTCATCTAAATTAAATGTGTTTCCACCAAGGTTGCCAGCTGGTCAAAATTGGTTTGATAAATGTAATATATACTGTTGTTTACACATTATAACTTGAAAGTCTCTCATTCGTTTGCATTTAATGTGTTAAGTACTGAGATTGTATTTTCTTCTTCTTCTTTTTTTTTTTTTTTTTTTTTTTTGGGTCTACAGGGTGTTCAGGATCTTACTACTAGATCAGATTCATAGTAATATGCCTGTTTACAGCCTCCCAAGAACTGGGATAACAGGTGCACAC